TGATGTATGTGAACGAGTAGATGAGTAATGAATGTTCTGAGTATGTGTTCCCCAGTGAACTCTAAGGGAACTGGAACGATAACTTGGCGGCCATCTTTGAAGCCAAATTGAAGGCCGCCATCATATATCTATGGCCGCCATGTACGTATGGAGTGGAAAATACGCCACCAAAAAGATGTCTGTTTTCGACCACTAAATAGCTGTATTTTAACAAGGAAAAAAGCTAAAAACTTTCAACAATACCTGAAATTTAATACAAAACATGTTTCCAGAACGTAGAGCAGTTATAAAGTTCTTTTTTCAGGAGTCAAAGTGCGAAGTTTTTTTCGGCACGTTCAAACTTGTGTAATATTTTGAATATCAAGCTGTTACCCAGGAAGTTTTTGCTGTTAGTGGATGCAAAATACTTAGAACTATCCAGGAAACCAAGTTTGAATCTTTAAAGTTGAAGCCTTTTGATAAAAAAAGTACTTTTTCTTGCTGATTTTCGCTCAAAAACAAACTTTTGACTGAATTTCCCGCTCCTCGAAACTCTCCCCAGTCCTTTTGAAAGTTAATTTATTGCTGGCCGTGCTCGCGAGAAGCGCTATTTTGGCTTCAGGCAAGTATGGGCATGTTTATCTGCAGTTAGCGTTCCAGTGTTATTACAGTTCACTGGTGTTCCCTCATCTCAACATCATCATAACTCATCCACTCGTTCACATCCATCAAAAGAAAATCGCAGCGAACGTAAACGTGTAAACAGGCCTTCAGAACACTTTTATCATGCATTACACAGCTAAATTATCCATGTAAATATTTTTACACACTAATCTTAGTTTTTACATATCTATTTTATAGTCATTTTAGTGGTACTGTATATATGATATTATTTAATTATTACCATATGCCATTCAGTGTTATACACATGTATAATTCAGTCTATAGGACTGCAAAATGTTGTATTTAATAAACAATAAATTTCGAACCATTACAGATTTACAGAAAGTGTGGGGTGGACTTAATCATACTTCCTGACTCAACATAAGTTTGGCTGTTGACTCGACTCGACTTGAGTTGAATGATTGATTCGATTCGTGTGAAGACATCGACTCGACTTGATCAGAAAGTAAAATGACTCGCTCGACCTTGAGTTAAAATATATTTTATTAACTCCATTATTGAAGAGTTACAAATAATAATTATAACATATATATAGATAAAATATAAAGGAAAATATCATCAAACCAACCTGCATATCAGTTTCATAATTACGACTATGGGTCAATGAAAAACTTCTCACCCAAAGGGTTCAAAGAGTGAATTTTGCATGCAAAACGAAATATACTCAGCAGCACATCAAAGTCAATATTTAGACTGTGCATAATCGTAGCAATATTCGCGGGCATACCACCAGTAATTAACTGAACAAATCATCATCCAAGAAATAAAAAAGAACCATTATTTCTCCAGATAAATCATCTGTCGTTCACCATTATTCTCTCTGAGTTGCAGTGTTTATTACAACATGAGCAATAGAACGAATGGTGTGACTTTAAGTGACTCGACCTTTGAGTGACTCGACTCGTGACTCGACCTCAGTGCCTTTTTTAACTATATATCTGGGGGGGGGGGCAATTGCCACCACCACCCCCAGGGAAAGAATTTGCCCCCCCCCAGTAAAGCCATTTCTGCCCCCGAAGTGCGAAGCAGAATTGCTCATGATTGCTGTCAGAATTGCAGTTGATTTACTTGATAATGAGATTATGCCCTTCCATAGCCTCCTCCACAGCCATCTTGTGTGTAATTCATATTGTTCTTCACTGAGTATTTCATATAATAGCGATAGATTTCATGCAAACAATCCGATAAAATGCTGGTTCCCAGCCTAGTCCCAGGGTCTCTCTCTCTCTATTCGCTGCTTTGATATATTTAAATAAGTCTTAAAAGTTTTATGCCTGGGTGTGCTGTGCGGAACGCTTCAGCGAGAGAGCCTAGCAGATTTCGGTAAAATGATCCCTGATTTAAAAAAAGTGGTCCCTGGCCTGGTTACCAAGCATACCGCATTTGTAAATAGAAAATGTTATGGAAATTTCCTTTGCGTTTATAATTAGTCATTAGTTTTGCTCTAATGCTGTCGGAACAATGAAATTCGCTACCATACGGTCAGAATGGAATAACGGCCTTAACGGGCTAAATATGACTCGTGTTTACTAAATTATAAAGCCATATGAAATGCTATGTAGAAGCTTGAAAATTATGCCGAGCCTCCGACTAAAAATGTTTTGACAACACAGTACAGTCATGTTTACAATCTCCTCAGCTACTTAAACCTGTCAAGTAGAAAGCGTAGTTGTGTATACCAGTTGATCACAACTTGCGAGTATATAAATAACATCAACGATTATACGACCATTGCTCAGAGCTCAGACTCAGTATCGTAAACTGTTTGTATATAAATTTTTTTAATTGAGCACATTTTTTATACAGTTTGAATTTGGTTATGTAGACATCGAACATGATCAACGAACATTGTCGTATTTACAAGGTTATTTGTATATATAAATTTTCTGCCATATTAAAAATACTGAAATCTGCTAGGCGTTCTAAAGCACCTTTAGCGGTGACGTCACACCTAGGTCCCAGTCTCGTACTACATCCACGTTTTTTCTCGCGCTTGCTTCAGAACGACTGGGACTAGGCTGGCTGGTTCCAAGAAGAATAGATTTAGTTTAGATTTTTAACTGTTAAATACATGTATGCATCATCATAGCGTGAATATTTCTTCTCAGATTTATTCTGTATCGTATGAAAAAGCAACGCAATTTTGAGAATGCGGAAATGGTGTCTCATAGAACCTAAAATGATTTAAATGCAACATTTCTGATCAAAATCACATTGGGATTTTCTCCCCCCCCCCCAGCATCACAGAGAGGAAATAAGGTGACACTGACCCCTCCTCCTATTTTTCAAGGTGACTTTTCCAATTTATTTAATTCCGAGTAGAAATGTCTGGAAAAATTCATGTCTTCGATGTACTTTATAATCTTCGGAATTCTGCTAGATTTCACTCCCAAAATGCTTGAAATCGCAATTCAGGGACCCTAGATTTCAAAATTTTCCCGGGGGTACATGCCCTTTCCCGGACCCTCCTCGCCTTCGGCGTGAGGTTTACCCCCCCCCCAAAAAAAAAAAATTAAGGTCTGGCTACGCCACTGGTTATAGCTGTACAATTATAGCTACAAAGAGTTGAAGTTTATTGTTTAATTTAAAGTAAAATATAGCTGAAGTTAATAAATTAAAGTTTTACAAAATCTCTCTTCAGACTCGCGCGTTCGCCAAACCTCGACGGCTCATATTTTTCATTCTGCCTTTTTTCCCCCCCCCCCCCCCAGTGAAAATTCCTTAAAAAAGGCACTGCTCGACCTGTAGGTGACTCGTTACATCACTGGAAAATTTTATTAAAAATATTAAAAAACTAAACAATAATACTATTAATCTACGATTAAAGGGGCAGTTGTACGTTTTTGGACCGCCCTTTCACACGAATAAAATTTTTTTTCGTCATTTTACAGGTAACTTATACAGATGATTATCATATTATGGCAGGTGGTTTCAAAATAAACAGCATAAATTATTATTTATGAGTTGCACAAGAACGTACAAAATACTCACAAATACATAAAAAAGTCGAACTACGGCAATGCCGATGATAGTGGGATTGCATGTACAAGACTTTTGCCCTACGTAAAACGAAACAAGACATACAAAAACGTGATGTTTTTGCCCGTAGATTTTATGTTATGAAAGTAAACAATTCATAAACATCAAATTAAATGTGAAACATGAAACATGAAAACATTGAAACATTGCATGAAACATTCACTGTAAATTAAAAAGGGCCAAATCGACCCCAAATTCCGTTTCAGCCCTTCTGGGGCCAAAGCTGTTTTGGCCCTATGTGAAAGCCATTTTGGCATTGGAGAGCTGGATCGGCACCGACGGAGCCATTTTAGGTATGGAGGAAAGCCAAATTGGCCCTACCCTTTGCCGTAACGGACCCATCATTTTCCAATTTAG